CGGCTGCGGGGACGGGGCGGAGCGGGGGAGGCGTAGCCTGACCGCGAGGGGCGCGCTGCCCACTGCCCCTGCATCGGTGGTGGCTGGAGGATTTAATCACAGCCCACACGTTTCCAGTCGGAGTCTGGATAACTTAGAGTCCTTTCTTTAAAGAAGAGTTCTGTGAAGTGCGCTTTCACTTCGCTCATAGGTGTGTTTCCTCTTGGAGGGGTTGTTACTGCGGCCCAGCGCCGTCCAGGCCCTGCCCTCCGGAAAGGCCGGCGGCGGGTCACTGAGGACCCGCTGGTAACGCATTGGCCGCTTTTCCTCCGATCTCTCCTTTCATGGTCGCATCACCTTCCCTGGCTCGGACCCTCCTGGGTTCCTCCTACAGGGACCATTGTGATGGCATCACTGGGGCCACCTGGGTGATCACCCATCTCAGGACCATTCATTCAATCACTTCTGCCAAATATTCTTCCCAAATAAATGTACGGATTCACCCTATCCAGGGATTAGACCTTGGACTTCCCTGGCGGAGTCAGAGGAGGCATTATTGTCCCACCACGGTTAATGGAGGGGATGGCCTGAGAGGGCTTAGAGGGGAGCGGGGGCCAGGTTGTGCTGTGTCAGGAGGAGCCTGTTTTTCAGCCACGTGCTGTGCGTTGTACGTAGGGGAAGGATATGACCTAATGTGAAAAGGTCACCTTGGCTGCTGGATGGAGACTGGACTATTTGGATCAAGAGCTGAAGGTGTCAGGAGTATTTAATTTTCTTATTAGGACGGTAATTCCATAGCATCATACTCTTGGCTGCACAGTGTTACAATCTAGAGCAGTGGTTCTCAACCTTGGCTGCACATTAGAATCACCTGGGAATCTTTTTAAAATCCTGATTTCTGGGCCTCATCCTCCGGAAATTCTGTTTCTTTGTTACTAATGTTGTGGCCCCACCCCATAACAAAGAAACAGGTATCAAACGCTGAATAAACTCCCTTGGTTGTGGACAAGAATGTTCAAAAATCCAGGTGCCCAAACCACACCCCAGACCCCTTACCCCTGAACCTCAGGGCGGACCCAGGTGGTTCCAGCCTGTAATCAAGGCTGAGGACAAACTGGTCTGACCTGAGTCCGTTTTACCTTTCTAGCCTTAGTTCCCCACCACGTCTTCCCCCTTTCTCTTACTCTGTGGGCTCTGGCCGTTCCCTGTACATACTTTGTGTATTCTCACTTCTGTACCTTTGAACATATTCCTAAGTAAGGGACTGGAATGAGCAGGAGTCTACTTGTTCTGTCGCGGCCCCGGTGGTAAACTCTCCTCCCGGAAGCTTCTCCTGATCCTCTACCCTGTGCTCCCACTTGCACTTGTCTTTTTCCTGGCACTGATCAGTCCGCCACGCTTTATAGGTGATCGCCTCCTCTGTGTCCCGTTGTATTGCCTGGCCTCCTGCTCTCCTAGACACTAGGATGTACAGCGCAGGGTCAGACCTTGCCCTCCAGTAGCTTACCGCTTGGAGGGAAGGAGTACGTAAGAATAATTCTTATTCTTGCATAAGAATATCCCGAGATAATTATTCAAATGGAGATTTGTTCAAGTGCTGTGGGCACGGGAAATGGTATACCTGGGGATTCCAGGTAGAGTTCCTCTGTTAAATCAGTATTTGAGCTGAAATTTGAAAGATGATTTGATTTTGCCTAACGGTGAGCTACGTAGGAGATGGGAAAGGGAAGAGCTT